GATAAGTTGAAAAGAAATATAATAGAAGGTTTAAAAGAGCAAGTAGAAGAAATATTAATAGATATTAGGAACATAATGTTGGCTAGTTTACTTAATGCCAGCCATGTGTATTTCATGCGCATACCGATTTTGGAAATTTTAACGATTTGTTCATCCCTACATATAACATTTAGAGATTCTTCAGGAACTGGGTCATATTTAATGTCGTGGATGATCGTGAAATCGGATGATGCTGAAATTTTAGTCCCCATTTAAATCTATAATACCTACTAAAACCCACATATACTCTTTTATTAACAACTATATCCCCAAACCCTAACCCTAAAAAAGGCTACAAAAATTTTTTAAAATTCATAATAAAATAAATAAAAATTTCAGCATCATCCGATTTCATGATCATCCGTGACATTTAATGAATTAAAGCTTTAAATACTTTGCGATTCGCAAATCAAGGCTATTAATTGTTTCTTCAAAATTAAACTAAATTAATCATCATTATTAAGATTATTATTATTTTTCTTGTAAAAGATCCTGTAAAGATTTAGGAATCTTTAAAACATCCCTAGCTGTAACTCCATTATGATTTGCATAATTGAAAGTTATTTTATAAATTTATCCTGAAAAAAAAATCTCGAGTGTGATACAGAAAATAAAAGAACCTATCTGTAGATTTACTTATATGAAAAATAGTCATGAGATATAAAACTGCTTTATATTTTGATCTATATAGGAACTAATATCCATTATGCTAAGAGAATAAAGTGTAATTCGATAACCTACGATCAAAACAATACTAATCAATAACATTGAAATCCTCACTTTCTAAAATCTAATGGTAGCTTGCAAACTAAATATGAGTTGTAAACTTCTGTTCAGATTTGTATCACTCCATTTATAAAGTAATGCTTTAAAATTTTTATCGCTAAATAGTTTTATTTTTGTTGCAATCTTAATAGGAATGTCCAAATGACCTTTAGTATCAAATTTATAATTCCAGAGTTGATAATTTTGTCATTTTCACTGGCAATAAAATTAAAAGTAAAAGAGAGATATTTTTCTCCAATTTTTTTATGAAAGTA